AGTATCTAAAATTAATTTTTAATGTCATTACTTTAAAGCAAATATATGCTGAAATTAACTACATTTAATAACTAAAGCTTAATATAAATAAATATATCTAACTAAAACAATCATTTTTTTATTACATTTATCTAACTATCTAAGCGGCTCTTATTTCAAAATCATGTCTGCTGATGTACAAAAAAGGTTTAATTTATGCAAAAAAAAAGAGAGAATAGTAATAATCAAAAACCGAAAAAAAAAATTAAAAAAAAAAAATAACGTATAAAAAATCTAATATGAATAAGCAACTTGGCATTATAAATGCTTCAAAAGAAATTTGGGTTATGGGCTGCGGGTGGAAACGCGGCCCGGCCAAGAGCCATTTCCCCATGTGTTTCCCATGAACCACGCTAATTAGCCAAATACAAAAACCCACCAAAAAAAAAAAAAAAAAAAAAAGATATAGAGATACATATGTATATGAATTTTTGTTAATTTAAATTAGGCGCATTCGTCCAGAAAACGAAATTCCAAAATGGCGTACAGTCTGAAGCAGGTGGAATGCGGCATTCGAGGCAAGTCTAGATAGATAAGACCCAAAAACCCAAGACTCGTGCGCACTTAATGCGTGCCCGGGACGCACTATTTAGTGAGGAGCCATAGGTGTGGGGGGCGGGTGTGGTTAGCCCAAGCCCTACGCGCTTGGCTGACTGACTGGCTGACTGCCTGACTGGCTGGCTGACTGACTGGCTGAGTCAGCTTATCCAACTTCGAGGCAACTGTACGACGACTTCGTTTGGCATATTTAAATTTTAAGCCAAACTCAGTTCCAGCCCAAGTAAAACCAAACCGAACCGAACCGAACTGAACTGAACTGAGCTGTGCTGTGCTGTGATCCATGACCATGATGCGGTGGCAAGGCGCTGCTCGTGTTGTTGCGCCGTTTGTAGTGGCTGGCGCCATTTTTGATAATCGCGTTTATGATTTGCCAAAAACTAAACAAAAACTTTCTAAAGAGCACCGCAGCTGAAAGCCAAAAGCCAGCAAAACGCTGCGAAATTTGCCAAGTCATTTGCATGCGCAGGCGCTGCCAGATCGCACAATATGAATGACGAAAACAGTGTGGCAACTACGTCTGAATTTAGAAAAGCTTCAAACTCTCCAAATCTGTTGATGACACATAAAAATCGAAAAAAAGAAAAGAATAAGGAAGTTAGGCAACATTTTGAGGGACTCTAGCCTCAGACCAGAAGCTCCTGAAAGCTCTGCTCCAAGACCAAGTTTAACTTTCTGTAGCTTCAAGATTTTTCTTATATTCATTTCGAATTAGTTTCGTTATCATCTTGGCACTTGGCAACTGCCTGACTGACTGCTGCAGTTGGGGCGCGCAGATTTCATTTGTCTAAAAATACGTATATGATCGCATATAAATTATAATTGAAAATATCCATATATGTGTGTACTTGTGCATGCAATCTCTGCGACAACAACAACAACTACAACTACAACAACGACGACTGATAAATAAATAAAAATCTGCTACTGCTGCTGTTGTCATCAGCCCCCGGTCAGCTATACGAAGAGTGAATGCTGCCCTGGTCTCTGTCGCCCCGTATCTCTTGGTCTCGCTATCCGCTGTCTTGGGCTGGATCTGTGGCTGGCTGGCTGGCTGGCGCACTGCTGATGACTTGATTTGAAATTTGAAATGATATTTTAAGAAACTAATGCAGCCATAGCTCGACGACACAGCGCTGCACATTGCTCCCTGCTCCCTGCCCCTGCAGCCGTGCGGCAGCTCCTTCAGATCGTGCTGCCTCCTCGTAGGCATGTTAAATGTCATTTAATAGTTGACAGTTGCACTTGCTGCTTGTTGTTGTTGTTGTTGTGATTATTGCAGTTCATTTTTTGTGTGCTGTTCCTCTTTTCTTTTTTTTTTTTTTTTTTTTTTGTCGTATATCTAGAAAAATTTATGTGTAGGTGGTTTTAAATTTATGTCGTCGTTGTCGCCGACACCGAAACAACTCGCGAAAAATTCTTTAGAATCTGTTTCGTTTTTCTTCAATAAAACTACATTTTATAGCTTACACAAATAAAAGAAAAACAGAAAAAAACGAATTCGTATATACGACGCTCGCTCATGATAATGATGCTGATAATGATCGTCAAGACGATGATGATGACGATGAGCTTAGTGCTAAGTGCTGATCACATGTCTTATTGATGACATCCTGTCCAACTGTGGACTGTATTCGATAAGGCTGAAAAGATGATAGTTGCAACAGATCCGGAAATGCCCCAAAAGCTCAAACTGCAAATGCAATTCCGGCTGATAGTCCGAATCAATGGACTTGTACACAATAATAATAATAAACAAATAGATCATTTACAATTTACGTAATTTAATTTATATTCCTTCATATGTTGAGTATCCTTCATATTTTAAGTATCCTTCTAGCTATGTATGTATTGTATTGTATATTAACTTGTTCATGAAAACCTTTGTAAATGTGAAAATAAACAATTTGTGGAGTAACAAATGAAAACTAATTAAAATCAGGAAGCAGGCCAGGATTTGATTGTTGACTAAAATATATCTAAAGATTTTGACTAGAGAAGTTGATGCGATTGCTATCGCTATCGTCAGCTCTTCCTCTGTATTGAACTGTCGGCTAAGCATCGCTATTGGCCTTGGACTTGCCATTGAGCATTTCCTGCTTCAGCTCCAGATAGCTCTCCAGTACGACATCGTTTTTGCGCTTCTCGGTGTTTAGCTCCCAGGACAGACGCACTAGCTCATTGGCCAGCTGCTCTGGGTCGTTGGTCAGTTGGAGCACCTCCTCGGTGCTGGAGCAGTTGCGAAGCGATTGACGCATGTTGTTGGCTGGTATGGGCTGCTTGAATGGCAGCCTTATCTCCTGGGCATAGTTGGGCGGCTTGATGATCAGCTGCTTCAGCATCTGGGCGTATTCCTGATGCCGCAGCTTGCGCTGATCCAGCTCATTGATCCGGGAACGCACATTCTCCAGCTCGACCATGCGCTGTACTGGCTCCGGTGACTCCAGCTTGGTGTCGCTCTCCACGGCCTGGGCGAGCTGAGCGGCCGCCGAGATCTTTGTGGGTCTCTCTCCCTCGTCATCGTCGTTGCTATTGTGTTCATTATTGTACTGGCGTATGGTGAAGCGTTGCGACAGCATGTAGGCGCTGCGCATTGACTGCATCCAGGGCTGTGATAACTTAACTAGCGTAAACATCGCGAAACTTTAACTAGAAAATTTTGCACTTGCTATCCAAAAAGGCAGAATAAAATTACATCAAATTTCGAGAAAACACGAAAAACACAAAAACACAATAAAAGAAAAAAAAAATAAAAAAAAAATACTTAGAGATTTGTTGAAAAATTATGAAATGCTTATTACCTAAATGTAGGAACGAAACTGAAAATATTTCGAGCCAGGAGCCAGAAGCTAAACTTTTCGATTTCCATGGCCAACTTAGGGAAAACCAAATGAAAAGAATAGAGCAGGAAAAATGTTGATGACTAAGTGAATTTCTCAGCTAATTGACAGCTGTTGATAATCCCTGAACAATCGATAGCAATTTTACTTTTTATCGATAGCAACTGAAACAAAATTATGAAATCCAAATGAATGTTTTATTTTCTCAAGGCTAAGCTCGTTTTTTATATAATTAATTTATTCTCTCTCCCTTTGATCCAATTTAACAGTGTTCACAAAATAGTGTATTATCGATCATTATATAGACTTTCAGCCATATGGGCCAAAGTGCGGAGTTTGTCGTGCCTGTTGGCAACGCACGCCATATGAACATTATTCCAACAGCCCCCCATGCCGCAACGATCCTGCACATTATTCATCACACAGCAACTGGAGGGGGGTGCTGAGCCATAGGCAGAGGCAGAGGCAAAGGCGGAGGCGGAGGGGAATCGAAGCGAGCTTGAGCCTGAACAACTTCATCAGGCTGCAGCACATTTTCGCTATTTTCACATATTCGATGAAAAATTATTTATACGTCTTTGTTTTATTTCTTTTTATTTTATTTTATTTTTTTTTTTGCTTTACATAAATAGGAATGGGCAGTCCCATTGGCTGGCTGGCTGGCTGGTTGGCTGGTTGGTTGGTTGGTTGGTTGGGCTGCCAATTCGTTTCAACAGGCAAAAGTCGTCGCCGTTGCCTTGTCGTCATTTTGATTGATTTGAATGTTACGTTGAGTGCGCGACGCTGGCAGCGCAGCTCGCAATGTGACTGATGATTGATGGACTTAAGACCAAGTCACAGTTGCTCCCCTCTCAACCCTCGGCGCCCAGCTCAATGCACCCTGTTCCGGTGGGCAGCCAGCGTGACCCTCGAACTCTCTTTTGCCAAGGTGCCAACACACAAAAAAATATACAAAAATCAAAATAAACCAAAAAAAAAAATGATAAAGAAAATGTTATGCAAGCAAGGCATATAAAAAAAACTTTTCTTATTATTAGGAGCGACTAATTCAACTAAGAGCCAAGCAAAAAAAAAAACCGAAAAAATGTAATTTCCAGGACTTGACAGGCATATGTCAAGTTCGACGACATGCAAATATTTAATAAAAAAAAAAAAAAGGAAAAGAAACCAGAAAAAATGTTTCAGGCAGACAAACGACGTGTCCCAGGGCAAGTGGAAATTAGTATAGATTCAATTCAAGTAGAGGACAGCTAAGAGTAAATCGTATAGTATATCATATGCTTTCTTTGATGGTAAATATGAAACTGTTATGTATGAAATCTGAGCAGAGCGGAGGACTTGCAGCCAGCACAGAATAAACATGAAGGTATTCAGGTAAAGGAAGCTAAGACTTTCGAGCTGGATCGCAGCAATTGAAGACCCCATCAACGCCTATGTGGCGAACGGTATTATGAATCCAGTGGAGTGCAACCTACGCAGCGGTAAGTGGCAAGTGAATGTGGCAAGTTTTGTTATACTTTTAGCTGCTCGAGCTGGAACCCTTGCGGCTTGTGACAGCTGAACATCAAGGCGAGCACAGGACGGGCCAAGTTGCAGTCTGAGCTAAAGCCAAAGCCAAAGCCAAAGCTAAAGCCAAAACCCGAGCCGGGCCCACAATCGCTACCAAGCTACCAAGTTGACCCAGTGAACTTTCTCGCGCTCTCGCAGCCTCGGTCAGAGTTAGAGTCGCTGGTTAAGTAAATTTTATTTTCCAAAAGCATTTTTCCGTGTGTGGGAGCGTAAATCTTGCACTCACACAAATGCCGGATGTGGTTGCGTAGAGACGTGGCTCCCAGCTACCTTAGTCGTAGCCCTCTCCCCACCCCGGGCCGTTCCCTCTGTCGCACTGCGCCTCGACTGGGCAAACGCGCAACTTTCTGTTTGCTCAGCAGCGACAGCATTAAAATAATAACAATAATAGTATAAAATACTAAGTAAAAATGCCCACTTCCGAGTGCCCAAGTTGAGGCCTCAGCCCAAAGCCGATGTCGGTATCAACTGCCGGGTATCCACTGTAGCACATCATTACTCCACTTCTGCCACAATTAAAAAATAAGCGTCAGCTCTGCCCCGATATGATATGGCATACTCCTACTAGACATGCCATAGAGTCGATTGCCTTAGTGAATGTCTTCTCCATTTCTGATACTCTGCTTGGGATTAGTTCAAGAGCTCAATTCTTAAATAGAATTATCTTTATACTGATGGGCAGAGACACATATGTTGATTTACTGAAGATGTACTATCGACATCGTAAAATAACGGTACATATTAGACTGAAAACTATATATGAGAGAATCTTGAATCCTAATTTACTATACATTATCTTATTGTATACATTAGTTATCTGTATAACGCTCTTCATACAAATTTTACTAAATATTATATATAAAAGGGTCCATATGAGTTGTTATTTTACCTAGCCCCCTCTAAGTTTCAAATATACCTTACTTACCATACCTTATTTATACCTTACATTTACTTGCACATATCCCTTCCACATATTCATATAGGTTAATCAATAAACTGCATATCTCTCTTATAATTTCTATACATACCATATCATATATATTCCCTGATCTTCAAAAGAGCATTTCATATTCGGTTTCATCTGCTCCCTCTCTCAGTTTCTTAGTTATTCTTGGAGTCTTTTCCATGTTATTCAATTTATTTAATGTTATTTATTTATTTGYTTGTTTCTTTTTTACTGTTCATGTATTTAACTACTTTTTCCCCACATTGTTGTTCTTTCGTTTGGGTTTTCCTCTTAGCTTTTGAGTCTGTTTAATGTCAACTTCCGGAGCACAGATCTGTAATCTGTTCAATATATATAAGCATGTGCATCTGTATGGGAGAGGTTAGGAGAGAAGGGAATAATTCAATATGTGTGGCATATAATTACTTTTCACTGGGAACCGACTCAAGTTTTTTTTATACTTTTGTATTGTGCGAGTAATTCGTGGGTCGCTTAACTGACAATTTTTGTTGTTGTTTTTTTTCTCCACTTTTTTTGTTTTGTGGGGAAACACTTAAAGAAACGCTGGCACGCAATGCAGCCAACTTCAAGTTGCAGCCACACACACACACACGCCCCCCGCCCAGTCAGACAGACAAAATAAAAACAAAATTGGTGTATATAAACTTACGTAACCAAAGCTTTGACTAGCAGATGACGGCAATGCCAACTCCTTACGGTCTATAAAAGGATTCAATATAGAAATTAATGCAGACCGTTCAGTTATGCAAAATAATAAAGCGAAACGAAAGGAAAAACGCGAAATGAATTACGATAAGCTGCAGGCAGCAACAGTCATAAACAACAACAATAATAACAGTAACAACAACAGCAGCCATATCAAAGACGCCAGTCGGCTGGGGCCAAGGGGCAAGCGCCAAAGAAAACCCACTAAAGGGGGCGAAAAATTGCACCAAAATTAATAAGGAAAAAATGCAAAGACGTGAGACGTAAGAACATCTTAGACAATGTTCGAAGGTGATGACAATAGCAACAGCGAAATGCACTACATAAACGAGAGTTAGTATTAGTATTAGTATTAGTATTAGTATTAGTATTAGTATTAGTATTAGTATTAGTATTAGTATTAGTATTAGTATTAGTATTAGTATTAGTATTAGTATTAGTGCAAAGCTTTTGTTCAATTCCCTCATAACTCTTCTCTTCTCTTAAATAGACTCAAATGCCTTCGATTTTGCATTGTAGCGCTCCAGCCAATGGGTAAAAGTAAAAAATTATTGAAAGTTTATGAAAAGAAAAACTGAAACAACAACACAAGCCAGCAACAATAAAAGGAATTACAGTAAATGGTTGCCGGTGTTTGGCTGCGGCCGCAGTTTTTAACAACAGCAACAGTCAAAGCAGCGGGGCGTGGGTTGGGGTTTGGGGTTGCTGAGAGGATGAGGACGGCGTCAACATTGTTGGGCGGCATGTGGCAGCCTTTGATTTTCGTAACGTCTTGAGGAAAAGCTGAATAAAAAAAAATAGAAAAAAAGGATACAAAAATTTTATTGTTACACCAGAAAAATAACAACAGCTTGCTGAGGCGGTGGTAGTGGCACGAACGGGGCCAGAGGCAGGAGCAGGTTCAGGCGACGGCCGCGATGACGGCTGCAGGGCGTCGCNTAGTATTAGTATTAGTATTAGTATTAGTATTAGTATTAGTATTAGTATTAGTATTAGTATTAGTATTAGTATTAGTATTAGTATTAGTATTAGTATTAGTATTAGTATTAGTATTAGTATTAGTATTAGTATTAGTATTAGTATTAGTATTAGTATTAGTATTAGTATTAGTATTAGTATTAGTATTAGTATTAGTATTAGTATTAGTATTAGTATTAGTGCAAAGCTTTTGTTCAATTCCCTCATAACTCTTCTCTTCTCTTAAATAGACTCAAATGCCTTCGATTTTGCATTGTAGCGCTCCAGCCAATGGGTAAAAGTAAAAAATTATTGAAAGTTTATGAAAAGAAAAACTGAAACAACAACACAAGCCAGCAACAATAAAAGGAATTACAGTAAATGGTTGCCGGTGTTTGGCTGCGGCCGCAGTTTTTAACAACAGCAACAGTCAAAGCAGCGGGGCGTGGGTTGGGGTTTGGGGTTGCTGAGAGGATGAGGACGGCGTCAACATTGTTGGGCGGCATGTGGCAGCCTTTGATTTTCGTAACGTCTTGAGGAAAAGCTGAATAAAAAAAAATAGAAAAAAAGGATACAAAAATTTTATTGTTACACCAGAAAAATAACAACAGCTTGCTGAGGCGGTGGTAGTGGCACGAACGGGGCCAGAGGCAGGAGCAGGTTCAGGCGACGGCCGCGATGACGGCTGCAGGGCGTCG